TTTCGGGCTACAAGGACAAAAAACATCTGGCAACGCTGAGTGCCACTGAACTCCAACTTACTCAGGACATATCACTGGCGTCTAATTACAGAACGATTCCGTAGCCGTAGTTCTGTTTTTTACCACGAGATGTCGCTACTTCGTGACGTCAAGAAGCTCGACAAGCGTAATTCTGATTGTGGTGTAAATACACCAGTCAGAATTAATTTATTACGAACAAAATTTGCTACTGTTCGTTTGTCGAACGTCAAATTTGTCTTTTGTCTAAATATTCAATGTTTATATTATAGATTTAAAAGATAAATATTGTTCATTATTTTTATCAAAATATTTAAAATTATACAGTATATTATAAAAGTTATTCTACAGAATATGTAGACTTTCGTTCTTAAATTCTTTTAATTTCGAGATTTTCCTTCTGAATTTTCAATCTCTTACTCGGATTTTTTTTATTATTATTCAATAAAATTATTCGTTGCTTTTTAGAAATACAGTAATTTAAGCGTTTTATATTAGAAAATTTGCAATATTTTATTTTACAATTAACGTGTATCTTTGAAATGTTCCACAAAGCCAAACTCAATTTTCTCAGTAGGCATTCTTGTTTGGTTTTCACGAGATTTTAAAAACACCTAACCCTGGCGAATACTGTATCAGGAGTTAAGTGTAACTTGAGTAATTTGAGTAAAGTCTTTCGAATTGGTAGTTTAAATCCATCAACAAATTATCATCGTCAGTAAAATATAATTAGTGAACTTTTTGTAGCCCGATTTAACAGATTTGTAATGATTTATTTAAACGTTAGCTAAGAAAAAATGCTATTCGTAAGAAACATGTTTTTTTTATGAAAAAGATTTATTGAAAATTATACATTTGCAACATTTTCATATGTACAATCTGTTATTGAATGTTTTCCTTTTGTAAGTACATTTCTGAATTGAGTGTAGTCACGATCCCGTGTGCCAGAGCCGCACGAGTAAAATTTATAAATTCCATGATTTTTTTAGACAGTACGACACAGTTAATTTTAGTTGGTTCTCAACTAATCTGTGGCTTTCCATTCGTAGAAATCTGTCAAATACGGTTCATGATATTTTTATTTACAACTGAATGAGCTGTTAATATTCATGAAAACAATTATTTTAAGATATATTAATTAAATACAGCGTTTTTAAAATTTCAGAACAGAATTTACTAACCCTTCATAGTTTTGAATTCCAGCTTCTCAATTTCACAGGCAAATCCATGTACAGTACTTCTCCAAATGTTCAGGTAATCGAAGGAAAGTAGAAAATCCTTCGAAACATGAAGTCTCGCGACAGAATATAGGCTCTTCCTCCACCAGGATTTGCTTATGTTCTAAACCTACATGTTTGTTAGTAAGATTTCCTTTCGAGGAGAAGTGTTTATCGCAAAAACAACAAGTATTTTCTAATATATCCAACACAATTTTTTCCATAACGATTTCTTAGCAACGTAATGGGAATACTTCAAAACCAATTATCGATGATAAAGTATGGTTTTAAAGCTAAAATATCGACAAAAAATTCCAAGCGCACCGTACAGTATGAGGTATACGCTATCTGAACGTCACGACACTAGCGACATCTCGTGGTAAAAAACAGAACTTCGGCTACGGAATCGTTCTGTAATTAGACGCCAGTGATATATCAGATCTAAACCCACTTTTATGATATTTAATCTGATTTATATTACCAACCAAATTTGATTAATTTAATTCTTCGTTAAGTTAAAAAATCTCGCGTTTTAAATAAATTTAAAATTATAAATATATTTTAATTTATCATTCTATGGCGAGTTATTTATTCCGTTTTGATTTCTTATAAATCGATAATAATAATTTACTCTCAGTGAATTTTGTTTATAAATCAAAATTCTTCCCGGAAATCTCAAAATAGGTGAAAAAGCGCAACTTCGCAACTTTCGTAGTTAGTTTCGAACGTTGGACGTTCTGACAAATACGTCACTGGTTACGTCAAAACACTGATCGATTTGAAATACTATATTTCGCTTAAAACGTTAAATAATTTAGTTTTTTTAATAAATAAAATTACAAAGCAAGCGGAACGTCCGCAAGCAAGAACTACCACCATTGGGTTGCCCATTTGGATGGAATATCTTGCGAAGGGTCTTTTTTGCTCCTGACACGCTGTACAGCTCTGTTAAGGTCCCAACATCTGAAATCTTAGCATTCTTTTACGTCTATAGTTTGACATTTATTACAGTTATATGTAATTCTGTAGCAAAGTTTTGGCATGGTTAAAATAAAATTGGCATCCAGTAAAAACTTAAGAAAACACGAAATGTAATACACCGTTTAAATGCATTCATTCTATNTCTGAAATCTTAGCATTCTTTTACGTCTATAGTTTGACATTTATTACAGTTATATGTAATTCTGTAGCAAAGTTTTGGCATGGTTAAAATAAAATTGGCATCCAGTAAAAACTTAAGAAAACACGAAATGTAATACACCGTTTAAATGCATTCATTCTATTCGGAGATAATTAAAAATTTAACTTAAAATAATTTAATGCGCTATTTAAAAATAATTAGAAAAGAACGCAATGTCTGAAATCTTAGCATTCTTTTACGTCTATAGTTTGACATTTATTACAGTTATATGTAATTCTGTAGCAAAGTTTTGGCATGGTTAAAATAAAATTGGCATCCAGTAAAAACTTAAGAAAACACGAAATGTAATACACCGTTTAAATGCATTCATTCTATTCGGAGATAATTAAAAATTTAACTTAAAATAATTTAATGCGCTATTTAAAAATAATTAGAAAAGAACGCAATGTCATACTTGTATTTTTATATTTTGAAAATATAAAAAATAATATACATGATAAAACTTTCAAATCATTCTTTTGATAGGGTATTTTCTCATACAAGCTGCATGTTGTAACTTATTAATTATCCAACCATTAAAAGAAAGAAAATTTGCATAAATTATTTTCATATTTATTAATAGATTATTTATAATAAATCTTTTTGTGTAAATTTTGAAAAATTAATAAAATCTCAATTAAAACTATATATATTATCCATTATATTTCTCTCCAATTGACAATTACTGGATACATACATATATAACTTTCGTTCTCGCTACTTATTTAAAAATCAGTTTTAAAAATACATTTTATAACTAACTTTACTAAACATTAAGAATATTCTCTAAAATAAAACTTTAGTAATAGTTATGTATTTTAAAATAATATAGTTATATTTACTATTTGACTAAGAGTAATTTTACTGCTTTTTTTAAAATAAATGCTAAGTATTCATTGTTTTTGGATTATGTAGTTCGTGCAGATATAGCATGATAGCAACTATCAAGATCTAAATATATATATAACAAAACATGATAATGATAATAGGAATTTTTAAATTTCAAATCACATCCACATAAGAAAACTAATGTGTTTGGTTTTACAACGTTGAAGGCACATGAATACTTAAAACTATCAAGTATCATTGAATAATATTTCAATATTGCTTTGAAATAAACTTATTTTACAGATGATTATTTTATGTTCTCTCTTACAGTACTGTGCCCAACACAAATAGTTATCCAAGATCATCTCCCAATTTAACAAAAAATGCCGTCCACTTCGTTTATTCGCAATGACTAGTCTCGAGATAATGTGTGATAAATATGAGCTAAATACATATTTAATACTAATTTCCTATTTATTAGGCAAGTTCCATATTTACTGACAAACAGTTGGCAATTATCCTAACCAATTTAGTTACTTTCTTGATGTTTTCACTTGGCAGAATGGTTACTCTGTTATATTTTAATATAGTCAAACCTTCTTGTAAGGTGGCAATAAATCTTCCTCTACAAATATTAAATACAGAATCTTTTGATATTTGTGAATTACTAAATATGCAATTTACCACTATAAATGACATCACTAACACAAAATTGCTTGATTTTCAAACTCTTATTTAGATCTCATTATTATATATAATTCTTATTGTTTCGTGTTCTTTGGTTTAGCACTATTTGTTTTAGTGCTAAATCAAAGTCTGACTACATATCTTTTTATTTTATTCTGTATAGAATCCATGATCAATGTAACATTTATATGAAAGATTTAGTGCTTAACAAATACATTGCTAGATGTAAATTTACATTAACAAATCATAGAAAATTTGATTTCAGAAAAAGTTGGTTTTAAAGTTATTTAAAGTAAAAAATGCTCTAAAGTAAAGAGTAATGTCATATATATTTCATAATTAATGAAGATATAAATATTATATTTCTTTAAAATGTCTTATACATATTGCACATTGTTAAAATTTCCTATAATTATTTATTCATATATTTTTAACATTTTACTACTATATATTATATTCTATATGTAACAATTATTTTTACAAACTATTTATTTATGTATAAATACACAATTTATAAATAATTTTACGAACCAAATAATTTACAAATAGTTATAACTTATTAATAAAATTTCTTCAATATATTGATGTTTAATAAATACTTAAGTATGCTATAACAATAATAATAATTAAAATGACACAATTAAAAGTAAAGATTAAAGTCATTAAATGGTGGAATGCAAGATAAAACTATATTGTATAAATTGTATTTCTTTTCTTAGTCTAACATATTTTTGCTGTAACTTTACATAGTATTTACGTTACCTTATTTGTTGACTAATTTGTAAAAATAAAAAGTTTTTTAAAATCATACTTAAGAAATTAATTTCCTTTTTGATTATTCTGTTAAAATACCAAAATATTAACAGAAATTTACAAATGTTAAATGGATAAATTCTACCATAAAGAATCACAGAATTTTGAGCACCATTAATCTTACATGATTTGCTGTTGATGAAGAAAACATATATTAATGTAGAAATGAACATTTCACAATGCTTTGTTATTCTAGTTATCTAAATCACATTTAAAGTTTTCAAAACATGTTCTTTTCAAATTTTAAAATACTTTTGTTTTTTCCCAACAAATCATAAGTACTTCTATGGTAAAAATACTTTTGTAAAATATTAGGCACAGTTATTTTCAATCTTCTTTTTTCTCATCAATGCTTCGAAAGCAGCAATCTCCTTTTTCTCTTTAGCTTCATTTCTGTTCTCAAAGTCAAGTCTACAAATAGTAATTCAAACAGTTATTATTTAATGTACAGTTATATTAGTTAATAAAATAGTAATTAAATCATTAAACATAAATTTGAAAATTAATAATTAAAACATACTTTTTTTAATAAAACCATTTAAGAATTCTTTTTATGAAAAAATTTATTTTCTAATTAAATTTTCTGTTTGAATATAGATAACATAATAACTGAAAATTTTTAATGTACACATAAATATGTAAGTAAGGGTGGGAAACCTTTTTTAAATGGTGGGCCAAATAAAATACAAATGTAAATACAATACCATATTTTCTAGGTTTTTATAATTTCTAGCTGGCCAGGTCAATTGACAGAAAATGTAGTAAAGACAATGTTAAAAACACAAAAAAAAATTGATGTATAATAGGTACAATAAACCTAATTATTTGATTATATATAATTCTGCAGGCTATTTATTGTATATGTTACTGTAAAAGTTCAACATTCAGTAAATCATACAAACACCAGTAAATTTGGACATTTGCCGGTATTCACCAGTAAAATTCCGAAATCCCTTATAAAATGCCTACAATTCGGGCTTTTACTGAGAAATACTGGTAAACATCTGGATTTACTGATCAGCTCCGGTGAAAAAAGTATTCATATGTATCTGCCATTTTGTAATATACAGGTAACCCCCGTATAACACAGTAGCTACGTTCCAAAAAATTGCCGTGTTATGCAAATCAAAGAACTAGTATGAAAAGGGAAGTTAGATTCCAAAAATTAAAAAACATGCTACTATATTTTCATAATTAAGAAAATTTTAATAAAGATATTTAACTTAAGTGATACATATTAATATAAATTAAACAATGTTTTCTTTGTCATCCCTAAACGCACTATTAACCGAGAACGTTTTATTTTTGGGAAGTTATCGTTATTTTCTGAGCATTTTTCTGCATTATTTTCAGATTCATGCTTTACCTTTTGCAAAAAGCGTATGTAATTTTAGATTGCTTGCTTCTAGTTAAAAAAATCTTTATAAATTTCCTTATATGGTGCTAAGCACTTATGGAAAAAGGGAAAAACATCCGGCAACACCAAAAGCAGAAGTGTTGAAATATGGCAAAATTGAAACAATTTTCGTGAAGGACCATGTGTATGGAGACGAGAAAAGAAAATTTACACACTGAAGTACTAATAGTTCACGAAAATAATAAATTTCGTGAACCATTAGTACTTAAGTATGTAAAAATTTATTACATTTCGTGTTATACGAGGGTTTTACCCATTTCTCGAACCGTGTCAGAGTGAATCCGTGCTATAAAAGTACCATGTTATATGGGGGATGGTACCAATTCTCGAACCGTGTTAGAGTGAATCCGTGCTATAGAAGTGCCATGTTATACGGGGGTTACCTGTACTTAAAAATATAAAATAAAACAAAATGAAAGCATCCAGCTTCAAAACAACAATTTTTAATAATGACAAATACTTTTTCATGCCATCTAGCCCACAATTTTTAAAAAATGTTTAAACCTAAAAAAAATGAACACTTTAAAATTTTATTTGTTTATTACAATATATTTTAATTATTACTACTTGTTTGGCTGTAGTTTTTAGTGTCTGAGTTAACATACAGCTTTACTAACTCAACACAAATACTTGTGTGTGAGCTCTGGTTTTAATAAATACTAGGACATTAAAATTATAAAAAAATTTTCTATTTTATTAACAAATTTATATAAACAATAAATCTTGTAATGATAGGGGATATTTATTTGTTGCTACAAGGTTGACTATTATGGCATTTAAAATTGCACAACAATGATGATGATGATTTGCATAAACATTTTTTTGTTGAATACATTTTTAAACAACCATATTTTTTGAACCCTTGACCCCAACAAAAGATAGTGTAAGGAAAGTAGTTAGAAAAACTAACTTCTCTTCCTACTTCTACAATGCTAATAACATTTCCTTTACATAATGTAAAATTGGTTTCTAGTGTAAGTGACTTCAGTTTTCCAACCTTAATGCCAAGTTCATCCTCAATATTTATGACCACTGCTATTATTGATTTTGGATTGATCTTTGCTTGGTCTAAATCCCAGTACAGTAGACCTCCCCTATAACATGGTAGATACTTTCCATGAATTCCGTGTTGTACGAGTCACTTAGATTTTACAAATCTAAGTGACTCGTACAACACAGAATTCATATAACACTGAACGTATCTACTGTGTTATGGGGGGGGTCTACTGTACTTTGATTATTACATTCTGTCAACTGAAGGTTTTGAAATTTTGTTACATGATGTTTTCATTTGCTTTGCTTGCATTTCAAAGCTTTCTTTGGCAGTCTTTCGAAAAAGCATCACTTTTTCAGCCCTGACAGAAGTTGTCAGAGTCATGTCACAACTTGCGGGAGATAATGGTGAGTCTACTTTCTCAGTTTCAACTAATGCAAAATGCTGCCACTCCGGCTGCTTCGTCTGCTCAACTATATTTTCTTGCTGACATCCTGAAGCTTTGTTCTTTGCTCAAATTGTACTTTCTAGCTGTGTTCCTCCATTCCAGCATTTAACTTTTCTCCAAATCTTCAGTGTCTATATTGTTTACTAAATCATGTGGAACAATTGAGCTGATAATAACCATTTTCATTGAAACCCAAACATAGCTAAATATGGTGAACGTTTGATCCATAATAAGTGCTATTCTCCATTGCTTGCACAAACTTCAAGCATTCAGACCATTTTGAAGTTTTACTTGTTTCCATCTAAAGTTGATAACATATATCCAATGTCCTGGTTTGCACATTTGACTGATCCCTGAAGACTAGTTATGTCTTAGTTTCCATGAACTATCTGTATATTGGCTCACATGCAACATAAACATTGGATAACTTGGTTACAAAACTCTACCATTATCAGAATGAAGGATATTAGTCGGATTAGTCTAGAATCGATTAATTTTATGGAAGAAAACCTTTCGATCGGCTGTAGTCCGTAAACTTCACACGTGTCGGGCTGTGATTGGAAGGACTCGTAAGAAATTGGATTCCTAAAGAATGGAACATATCTATGATCTTATAGGGGGGGTCGATTGTAATTAAATCTGGCATTAAATTTAAAGCATGTTTATATTTATATGTACAATACTCTGTAGTGAAATTTGACTAGTGTGCATGACACACAAATGGAGTTATTGACAACATTCTCCTTACCAAAGTTTCCATTTTTGTCACTCTTGTTAGCAGAACTATCAGCAATGTTTTTAGCTGTCTTCATTTTAATTAAACAAATATTATTAAAGTAGTTTTCATAATTCTATAAATTAATAAAATGAAAACAGAAAAACTATAACTTACTTTCATGGCTAACTACTAAGAATAATGGAAACGAAAATTATGACATCAATAACCACATTCATTCATCATAAAAAATAACCAAATTTCACCAAGGCATTATAAAACTATAAAAATAATGAATTTAAATGTTTTTGATACTGATACTATTTCCTCATTTTTTAAAACTGTATTGAATAAGAAAGTTCTCCCTAGTGTTTATTCTGAATTAATTCTAACTACAGTTATATGTATAAATAGAACAATGCTAGAAATTACCAAACAAAATAAAAAAATAAAAAGGAAAGGAACACTGACTAGACAACAAACAAAAATAACTGATGTGATTACTATAGTTAAGAAATTAAAATGGAATTGGACCAGCTATTAGATAATAGATGGATACTTAAAGTTCCTAATTGGCCCTAAAGAGAATGTACAAGGGCTATTTTTTAAATAATTTCCATTTGTGAATGAGAGTGAAAATGACGTGCGATTGCAGCAGTGTGCATGAGCATCCACTGCCAGCATGCTTTGCACATGTTTAGACACTATTTGCAGCAGTATAGTCTGTCTGTGTGCTGAGCTGTAGAAGTCTATAATGTTTAAGAAAATTGAGTCGCCCACCTACTATGAGATACAATCTGTTATTTGATTTCAGCACGAAAGATCATGGCAACTGTCTTTTGGGACAGGAAAAGGATTTTGTTAGTGTATTTTATGCTAAGAGGCACAACAATCAATTCTGATGCATATTGTTTCACCTTGAGAAAACTCCGGCATGCCATACAAAACAAGCAGCATGGCCTACTGTCTTCCAGCAGCAGGCAGTAGATTTCTTTGAAGTCAGAATTTTAAAAATTGTTGAGCAGTATGACAAAGGTTTGAACAAAAATGGAAATTATGTAGAAAAGTAGATAAAAATATGTAGAATATGGGAAAAATATATTTTAATGATATTTACAGTATTAAAATAAATTCACTATTCATCGCATCGGAATGACTAAAAAATTTACACACCTGAACCATTTACAGTGCGATCATGCAAAAGATCGGTAAACAAACGTTTTCGAACCCCTTCTGGGCTCTGCTTCAGGTTCAAATCAGTTTCTATAAAGACGTTCAATATCCGTTAGACGTAGAAATCCGTTCGATCATGTTGTTTAAAGCTTGAATTTGACTTGTAGGTTCGAATGGATTCACACAATCCAAGTCGCGCATGTGCGACCAGTTCGCCCGTCGGATTTTGATGGGTGAATTAGAGCGTGTTGTGAATTAACTCCTGCAAGGGCATCGATAACAGCATCTCCTCTTTAAAATTTATGCACGTGTTGGTGCATAAACTTTAAAGAGTTGACACAACCAAGTGCTAAAAGTGGTACACCTAATTTGTTATAATTCTGTATTCCAATTTAATGGCAAGATCTACACACAGAGTAAAGGGGTCCCCATGGGCAGCCCGGTCTCTGAGGACCTGTGTGAAATGGTGGTACGGCAATTGGAAAACAAGGTCCTCCCTCAATACCTCCACAACATCCAATTATATAGGAGGTATATAAATGACATCATCATTATCTGGAAAACAACACCAGATGCAACAACCTTTGTCGATTCTTTCAACAATAACCCGTACAGGTTGACTCTGGAATTAGAGCAATCTAACCCATCAGAAGTAACTTTCTGGATATAAGCATTAAGGTCGATAGCTCGGAAATCAATACGTCGGTATATCATAAACCCAGATCCACATCATCATATATTCCGATCGGGTCATGTGATCCGGCCGCATACAAGACTGCAGCCTTTAGAGCATTAATCAGAAGAGCCTTTACGCATTCATCTAACATCCAGGCTCGGGATACCGAACTAGCCTACAACTCGCGTTGCCGCCCAACACGGGTATCACAAACATGTACTGTACATAGGCTAATACAACATCAGCAACGTATATATTCGGAGAGTACACAGGAATCGGACCAAGTCGAGAACGGCCATCTTGAAGAAATAGAACATATCGCCATCACATACAATCCGTACTTAAAATCTCTATACGCTAAGCTTGCCAGCAAACGTCAGCTACGTCTAGCTTTTAGGAGGTGTCCACCATCTTCAACCTCTGACGCAATGGAAAGGACCCTCCTAACCCCATCAGACACCCTGGAATCTATAGCATCCTAGTGAAGGACAACAGGTGCGATAGGAACCTGATTTATATAGGCTCCACTAAACGATCTTTGGGAGTCAGAATACAAGTGCATCTAGCCGATATCCGGCACGGAAGAACTTCCACGGCCCTCGCTACGTATGTAATCGATCCGGATATAGTAGCGAACTTCTCCCAGGCCATTCTCCTCCACAATTCGCCTCCTATTGAACACCTCAAATGGCTAGAGGCTATGCACATATTTATATCCTCCACCACCAACACATGCATAAATTTTAAAGAGGAGATGCTGTTATCAATGGCCAGGCAGGAGTTAATTCACAACACGCTCTAATTCACCCATCAAAATCCGACGGGCGAACTGGTTGCGCAATGCGTGACTTGGATTGTGTGAATCCATTCGAACCTACAACTCAAATTCAAGCTTTAAACAACAGGATCGAACGGATTTCTATGTCTAACGGATATCGAACGTCTTTATAGAAACTGATTTGAACCTGAAGCAGAGCCCAGAAGGGGTTCGAAAATGTTTGTTTACCGATCTTTTGCATGATCGCACTGTAAATGGTTCAGGTGTGTAAATTATTTACAGTATTTTTCTTCTTATTAAAAAACAGACCTTATTTAAAAAATACTCTTCATACATAACTAAGAAAAAAAAAATCTCATTTAAGACTCAGAAGCAAAATTATACAAACCACAGGGACTATTTGGACTCAAAGCTCATGCTCATACATGTGCACACACAATTGAAGTTAATGAATGAAATCAAATTAAGAAATGAATAAAATGTCAGTACAGTAATACCTCAACTTACGTGAACCCAGAGTTATGCAATTTTCAAATCTTGTCGATTCATTTTTTGTTTGGGCGCCACACAACTCTTGATTACTCACTCCGCCCCCACACTATTGTTCAAATTACATGTTTGGACATGTCGTGCGGAATCAACGCATAGCTACAATTTATTTTGTGTTATTTATTTCTGTGTTTGTTATATCTACAAAAACTTGAAAAACTCTACTATGTCATCCAAATGAAGTAGAACTGATTCTTCTGCATCAAACAAGAAAAGAAAAACTTTATCTTTGGAATGTAAAGTTAACATTATTAAAGACTTTGATACAAAAATGAAAATTTGTGAATTGGCAAAGAAGTTTGATCTACCGGAATCGACAGTCAAAACAATTATAAAAGATAAAGAAAAAAATTCTCAAAGCTGAGAAAAATGCTCAATCTTTAAATTCAAGCATCATTTGTAAATGTCACGGTATTATTGCTGAGATGGAAACAATGTTAAAATTATGGTGTGATAATCAAGTAAATGTGAAAAATTGTATAATAATATAATTTGTTATACATATGTATTATCTAAGATTTTATTGAACATTTTTTTCTAAATTATTGTTTTCTTTAGTCTCCGGCCCCAACTAAAAATTATTAGTATGTATTTATATGCAAAATTATATCATGACTTATGCAAATTCAACTTATGCAGTTCAGTCCCACCTATTGCGTAAGTTTGGGGTATTACTGTATTCATTCCTGTAGATTTTAATTGATTTTTAATCCATTGAAAAAATAATTAATATGCTAATAAATTAAAATAAATTAACTTAAACACAATAACAGTCAAATAAATAGTAAAATGGGGTAGTTTTAAATTTTTATAAAATTTCCACACTTTGTAAATCATTAAAATTTTCATTTATAGGATATTTTAACTTATAAGTTAATAAATCAATTTTAAAAACATACCTGTGTTCAATAATCCTTTCAACTATTTTCTGTGTTGTCATATCATTCCCACTGTCCAATATTGAAAATTTTCCAAGCTTTTTGGGTTCCTATATAAAAAAATTTTAAAATTTAATATAATTATAAATAATCACAAACCAACATTATACTGCCAGAATAAAGAACAGACCATAATTTTAACTTACAAATTTAAATTTTTTTGTTAAATTTTATTTTACAAAATTAAAATTTTGCTACATACAAAATTTCTGTATATATAACTTAAAAACTTATTATAGAAAAGAAATGATTCAAATACTAATAAAAATATTGATATATATATATATATATATATAAATATTTATATTGATATATATATATTATATATATTATTGTTTTCTTTAGTCTCCAACCCCAACTAAAAATTATATTAATATATATTATTGTTTTCTTTAGTCTCCGGCTTCTTTAGTCTAATAATATATTAATATATATTATTGTTTTCTTTAGTCTCAGGCCCCAACTAAAAATTATCAGTATGTATTTATATGCAAAATTATATCACGACTTATGCAAATTCGACTTATGCAGTTCGGTCCAACCTATTGCGTAAGTTTGGGGTATTACTGTATTCATTCCTGTAGATTTTAATTGATTTTTTTTATCATGATATATCATCATATATCATAATAACTACAACAAAGAAATAAAACATTTTCAAATATTTTTTTGAAATACAGTAATACCTCGACTTACGTTACCCCAACTTACGCAAACCCAGAGTTACGCAATTTTCAAATCTAATCGATTTATCTTTTGTTTGAGCGTCACGCAACTCTCGATTACTCACTCCCCCACACTATTGTTCGGCTTACATGTTCGGATGTGTCGCGTGGAATCGACACATAGCTACAATTTATTTTGTGTTATTTATTTCTGTGTTTGTTTTATCTATGGAGACTTGAGAGACTATGTGGTGATTTCTTGTAACTGTGAACGAATCAAAAGACAAGATAAGATTAACGAGAACATTTATTAGCTTACATACATCCGACTTGGATTTTACACAAATTGCGAAATTATACCACGACTTATGCGAATTCGACTTACATGGTTATCGCTCGGTCCCACCTATCGCGTAAGTTTGGGGTATTACTGTATATAAAAATTATATATTTTTTTATCAACTAAATAAAGATGGAATACCGACAAGTGTTAAAATAGAAACACACCTTGTGTTAGTGAATCAAAGAAATAAGACAACACGATTTCAGAAAATTTAAAATTTTTAAATATGTAGATCTTTCATTCATTTCATATTTATCATAAATAAATTATTATTGTATACATATGGTATATAAATGATAAATCTCAATTGTTTTCTAAAGGCATTCTAGTTTATTTCAGTATATTTTTTTTACATAACAAGCATACTGAATAAATAGCTAAATAATTATTTATATAAAGCAAGCAGAAAGCAAACAGGTGAAAAATTCTTTTTACTTACAGCATAAGGATCACTTCCGTCAACATCAGATGGAATAGGAGTACTTCCNGGCTTCTTTAGTCTAATAATATATTAATATATATTATTGTTTTCTTTAGTCTCAGGCCCCAACTAAAAATTATCAGTATGTATTTATATGCAAAATTATATCACGACTTATGCAAATTCGACTTATGCAGTTCGGTCCAACCTATTGCGTAAGTTTGGGGTATTACTGTATTCATTCCTGTAGATTTTAATTGATTTTTTTTATCATGATATATCATCATATATCATAATAACTACAACAAAGAAATAAAACATTTTCAAATATTTTTTTGAAATACAGTAATACCTCGACTTACGTTACCCCAACTTACGCAAACCCAGAGTTACGCAATTTTCAAATCTAATCGATTTATCTTTTGTTTGAGCGTCACGCAACTCTCGATTACTCACTCCCCCACACTATTGTTCGGCTTACATGTTCGGATGTGTCGCGTGGAATCGACACATAGCTACAATTTATTTTGTGTTATTTATTTCTGTGTTTGTTTTATCTATGGAGACTTGAGAGACTATGTGGTGATTTCTTGTAACTGTGAACGAATCAAAAGACAAGATAAGATTAACGAGAACATTTATTAGCTTACATACATCCGACTTGGATTTTACACAAATTGCGAAATTATACCACGACTTATGCGAATTCGACTTACATGGTTATCGCTCGGTCCCACCTATCGCGTAAGTTTGGGGTATTACTGTATATAAAAATTATATATTTTTTTATCAACTAAATAAAGATGGAATACCGACAAGTGTTAAAATAGAAACACACCTTGTGTTAGTGAATCAAAGAAATAAGACAACACGATTTCAGAAAATTTAAAATTTTTAAATATGTAGATCTTTCATTCATTTCATATTTATCATAAATAAATTATTATTGTATACATATGGTATATAAATGATAAATCTCAATTGTTTTCTAAAGGCATTCTAGTTTATTTCAGTATATTTTTTTTACATAACAAGCATACTGAATAAATAGCTAAATAATTATTTATATAAAGCAAGCAGAAAGCAAACAGGTGAAAAATTCTTTTTACTTACAGCATAAGGATCACTTCCGTCAACATCAGATGGAATAGGAGTACTTCCATGAAAAACATAATCTACCTAAAATTATATTGCAATATTGTCTTAATTTTGCTATATATTTAAAACAACTAAACTGAATAATTCAAAAAATTTTTACCTTAAAATGGTTCATTAGATCTGATGTTACAGAATAGGGTGCACCAATCACAACTTCATTAACATACTAAAAAAAATATGTATATAATCTATTGTAAAATTTAACAATAATTACAAATGTAAATCCGTTTCTGTAGTCCAGAAAACACACTTTGGTAGACGTATCTCACAGCAATTTCTGGTTAGCAAATTATTTTTTATTTTCCATTCAACTACAAATATATTTCGGGTTGGTATAATGTACTCCCACCCGATTTGCACATTATGTAAATTACAAAAAATTTACAATGTAAGTGTTTTTTATGATTTAGTTTGTTTCTATGGTATAACATGGTCATGTTTTAATATTTCTTGTTTATTTGATCTAGCACTGAGGAGAGGTTGGAGTACATTATACCAACCTGAAAGATATTTGAAGTTCAATGGAAAATAAAAAATAATTTGCTAACCAGAAATTGCTGTGAGATACGTCTACCAAAGTGTGTTTTTTGGATTAGAGAGACAGATTTACATTTGTAATATACCATACAGCAAGTCGTTTATATATTTAACAATAATATTTACAATTATAAAATATACATTATTAATGATGTTATGTAATCAAATTTTCAGTATTTATTCATAATATAATATTATAATTATAAAATACACATATACAGTGTTGTCAAAAAATTAAATTTTGGTAACATACACGTTAAATATTAGTAATTAATAAATTGAAGTAATTTGAAACATAAAATCCCATTTTAAATATTACTTTTCTGATAAAAGTAATCAAATATACAAAGAAACAAAAAAAATCCTATTGGCATTAAAACAAAACAGTATTTTAACAAATTGAAGAATTTATAATTGGAACATTACATTAATGATGTACAGAATGCCAGAGAAAAAGGGTCTTCCCCATGACCATATACCGCATACATCTCCCAAAAGGATGCAAGTCCCTATTACCGAAGTTAAGATATCTCTGTTTGAGGAAAGCAATTAGAACAAGAAGGTGCGTGTATTCCAAACTCGATAAACTAATTAAAGAAGAAAATATTCTATTTGGGCAAAATGTATCAATGTTACAAGAAGCAAACAAAAAGGCCGTTATATATCAAGAAATTTTAGAGAAGAACCTGACAGTAAAGTACAGGAAGATAATGAATTGGATTTTAAAAAAGCAGAGACCGTTGAGGGAAGAAGTACCTATAATCCCATTAGTATGTTGGGATAACATATCTCCACCTGATTATCTACTTGACAACTTAGCAAATGGCCCAATGTACACTCCAGGTACCCCAAAGCCAGGGATGCACAACCTTTTCTGAAAAAGGGCCAAATTAGGATTAAGTTTACTGACTGGGGGCCGGACCTCCAAGTGATTAATGCGATGTCTGATGCAATTTGCGAGAGTCTTTGTTGTATCGTCATGTGGTTAAGACTGATTGTTTGAAAACACTGTCTTCTCAGGACACATTTCACTTGCGATGATAAGACACTTTCTTATCATATCGCCATCTGTGAAAGGTTTCCCATTCTTGGCTATTAAAGCAGATATTTCTAGGCTGGCTTCAACAGCCGCATCCAATTCTCCAGATTGTTTCTTGAACACATTTTGTTGGCTGATTAGTGATTGTCATAACGATTCGATTTTCCGTTTGCGTTCCGTACCTTGCAGAAGGAAATCCTTGTGTTGGCTTTCATGATGTCGCTTCAGGTTGAATTCTTTTGGCACTGCTATTGTTCCATTGCACAAAAGGCAAATAATGCTGTTGTTCTGTTGCACAAAACAGTACTTGTTAGTCCACACTTCCACTTCTTGAAACTGATGATTCTCGCGATTGACCTTGCGTTTAATGCCCGGCGCCATACTGTTCACTCTGCAAAACAATGTCTCATTGTGCCGAAAATTCTGAGGCCTGCAACAAATCATGTTTGAGATAAGGGCAAGCTAGACTACCATGTGCTTTGTTCTGTATCCACTCTGACCAAAGACTAAAGAAGCGGGGACAGAAGACTATTACACACACGTGGCCAGGCAGGTTTTAATTCATTCGACCCCTGTCCAGGCGTCTCCACCATTTCTCAGAATTTGTGAGTCAGATCGTCAACATGCCAAGTGCAGGACACTAATCCATCATAAATGTGGTTACCATTCTTACCTAAATTATATTTATGGCCCGTCAGTTTTACCCCCGTGTTCAGAAATGAATCAAAAGTGATTAACACAGTGCAGTGGAAAATCTGAATATTTTAAATATAATTATTAAAATTGCAATATCTCGTTTCAAATTGGCGCTAGAATCAATCTGTTTTTTTTTTTCTGTCACAAATATATCACAGTTTACGACTGTTAAATTTCAAATAAAATAAAAATTAAAAATAATAATTTAATTTTAAATTTACGAAAAAAAGAATGTAAAAATAAAAGTAAATAAAAAGTTCCAATTAATTTACTACTTAAATAACCTAAATATATCTGTTTTCTTTCAAACAAAAAAAACCGCAGCTTTCTAGCTACACGGAATCATTTTACAACCCTCTTTGTTGACAAGTTTATGGCTTGACGCGGTTTGTAATAATTATTAAATCCAAAATATTTTAATGCAAATGGCTTCCTTTTAGTCGTAATGACTCTATTCCAACTACAGTATTAATTTTCTTGGTCCAACTTAATAATAATAAATTTGATGTGAAAAATTTTTTTTCTATTCTTTGTCTATGGAGAGATATTGTTGTAAATTATTGGTTTTATAGCTTTTTGTACATTCCTTTTTGAACTCTGGTTAGTTTTTTTCTAGTTTGAATGACATTAGGTTGACGAATAAGCGTCTTTTCAGAAAAGATTGATTCAAATTCGACTATACCAATCAGAATCTAGAATGTAAACAAATGCTAAAAAATTGTTATTTTCATGGTTTTTCAGCGCTATTTTCACTTATTTTTGTTATTTGACGCTATTTAGATGAATAGGCAAGTTTTCCGAAGCATAAAATTGAAGATTTTCCGCCAAAATAAAAACTTCCCGATAACATCGGAAATGACGTTCTAACATCATTTTAAAATATTCGATATCTAAACCAGAAAGTGTTAGATAGAAATAGACTTATTTATAGAACAATCCCCCATTTCTCACCTCAGGGAAAGTCATAAAACAGTTGGGTGCTAATGACTTTGTGAAAGGGAAAAATTTCTACACTTAGAAACTTCGAAAGAAGGGATTTGGCCTGTACCGTCCGCGGGCCGCATAAACATTGATAGGGGGCCGTATGTGGCCCACGGGCCGCAGGTTGTGCACCCCTGCCAAAGCCAATCTTGGATAGTGTGATGCCACATATTGAAAGGATGACCGTGGGCATGAAGGACACCCACAAAGAATATTACAGATGGAGAGCCACATTCAAAATCTGTTCCGGCCACAACAAAACCCAAGATGAAGGATTTTGGCAATGTTTACAAAAAACCAAAAAATGGCTAGCCAGGGAAGGCATCATCGTTTTAAAAGCAGACAAGAGCAGAGCATTAATACTCTTAAAAGAAACCACCTATAGAGGTCTGATGCAACAATACGTCAACGATACGGAATGCAAGCCGATTAACGACGGATACGTTTACAAACTACAGGCTCAAGTCAAACGCTTTACAAAAACATCGCTTGCCAGGGAGCTAAAATTGAAAGGAGCAGTGGTGGCATCACCAGACACACCTAAATTATTTGCCTTTGCAAAAACACAGAAACAAACACCTGCTCTTAAACCCATTTTCGACAAGGCCAGGGGCCGTATTCTGGTCACTTATCTCTCGTCTCTTCTTTCACCAACGAATGACGTCAAAGCTAGAGACAAAATTTGTCTCTCATACACAGTGGTGATTCTGATCGTTCGTAACAATCTCGTCTTTGTTGTTGACGTCACGATTCTATTCGGTTGATTATACATGTTCAGGTTATCTGCACACGCAACACGGTATAGAATTTTAACCAATGAAATTGTAAAATTTTCGAAAGTCCGGAGTATGTAATCATAGATCATGTGGCAAGGAAAGCACGTGTTCAAATAATGCGTGTAATTTTTCGACAAAGTAATTAATATTTTTTTAATGTTTTATAACGTTTTTAGATTGTAATGTCAATTTCTCTCTTTTAACAAATTAAAATTTTAATAACCTAAGTTAGAAAAGCGCGAGTTCTTAGATATTTTTCGAAATATTGCGATCTAATTTCTTCTTAACTATCTAAGATTAACATCATATTCGACAGTTCAGTAATTGATGTAGGATAATTAAAAAAAATGGAATAAGTGATGTTTCCGAGTAGGCGCTGGAAAAAAATCAGGATTTTCTCTCTCGAAATATTCTTCCCGAGATAGAGAACGTTCTCTAATATGATTGTACAGTGCGAGTAGCATCCAATCGTCCATATTGGATATAACAAAATCGAGACAAAAGACGAAAGAACGACCGAAAGACAACTATCCACTCGTCTCTGATAAACGAGAGAATCGAAGAGAGAAAAAATTGTCCAGAATCGCGTTTAGAGAGACGCGATGATCTCTCGAGACGTAAACAAATGATCAGCCCAATGATACACTATGATACAAAGCCCAATAGAGAAGGTCCCAGATGATCTCCCATAAGCATAATGTTATACTACTAATATAATGAATAAATTTTCAAAATCTTTTAGTGTGACCTTTTACACATCAAAACAAATATAAAAGTAAAAATGAATTGTCCTCTTGAGTGAAAACACATCTTTCATTAAAAAGTTTGTTAAAAGCTAACTTAAATTTTCATATTTATGTACAGGTAGGCCTCCTACAATGCGGTACCTTTACAACGCGTTTTCACTCCAACACAGTTGGAAAAATGCAGAAATTTTCTTACAACACGATTTAAAGTATTTAGAGACGAATTATCTTTCACATAACAGAAAAATTGCAACAGATCACGTGATATGCGCCACAGTTCGGTGTACAGAGCTAAATGTCCTAGAAAACAGCTGTTTCCCGGAAAAAATTTGACATGTTATTCCCATGAAAGTTTCAGGGGAAGACCAGTTTCTAAACAGATGTGCATCAG